AGGGAGAGTGGACAAGGGCCTTTAACTCGCCCCTCCCTTGGGGATATCTGCTATTGTAACCGGGGATAGATAATACGGACCAGGTATTTTTTCATGGAAACGGAAGAAAAGCGATTTGCAAGATGGTCTGGTAGTCTTCAAGCCGCCGCCTGCGAACATTCATTTTCACAACAACGGAGCTTGATATTGAAGTTTTGACGGTCAGATAACTTTTAACTAAAAGTCAAAATTGTATTTTTGGCTAATCTGTTGAGTTCTCGTATCCTTAAGTTTGTTGAAGAAACTAGTTTCCAGCAAACAGTTTTCATGCGTTGTTCGTAGCATCACGTTTTAGTAGCACATAAATATCTGACCAGGTCTTCTTCATAACGAAAATCCTTATGTCCGCAGAGAGAAACAGGCTTACCTAAGCTCACTTAGAGAACTGCTTTCGAATTTATTCTTACAACATTAAAGCATTTTTGATCATTTAAGTCAAAATGACAATTAACCAGTGTAAAGTCTCACATTAAATTCAAGACTGTTACTGTGCTTTTTGTTATTCAATAACTTTACAAAGTGGAAGACAAAATATAAAACATACATGTGTTGATCCTGTGTGAATGTCAAGTAATTCCTTTGTAACATAATTATAATGCATTTATGTTACGTAAGTACCATGTTATTTTGTTATTAATAGTTCAATGCGGTCCGGATGTTTCACCAAAAAGAAAACGGTCCTTTCATTACTACAGTATGAAGACCACTGTCCTAAGACGTAACACCACCGTCGACCCATTTTGCCGTCCCTTATTTCTTGCCGCCACGCCGCCTCCATTTAGGTACAGCCACGCCATCAGCCGTCGTGAAGCTGTGAATAAAACATGAGCAGTCGCACAGACAAGTAAATACCACGCGGGAGATCTCTCTCGTCGTCACGGCTGTTTACTTCCAACTCTTCTCTTCTGCCTCACTCCCATCGACATTCCTCTTGGATCTCACTCCCTTCAGCAGGTTCATAATTTGTAACACAGAACCTCGGTTGTAGTATCGCCATTCAGGTTATTTTATTGCAGAAATATTGTGAGTCGATTTATGTCGAGAATGAATGAAGCCTAACATGCTTCGGAACTGGTTATTTTACGGCCCCTGACATTTGTAAATATTGATTTTACATTTATCAATGACACCGAAATGGACTGAAAGATATAGTAGTTCTGACCTTGTAGTTTCTTAGCTCTACTACCAAAAAGAAAGTATTGGCGATTTTCATCTCACATTAAATGAAATTGTTTGCTACATGATTATTGGAAATGAGTTGATGTTTTTTAAACATTCCAAATTAATAAAAAAGAACTTGTAGTTGCACCAAACGAAATTAAATTTACTATAAATCATAATTACGGGTGTAGCAATTCCAGTGAATTCAGTATTTCAAAAGGCTGCGACAGTAACGTTCTGCGCTAAGGATCTTCTCACTTTGTGATTGAGCTATCAGGGAAATCCTTAATATCTAATTAATCATCATTCATTGTTAAGTATATATCGCTAAAACTGAGGGTCCACTCAGAAGTACTTCTCCCAGTCTTGCGCTATGTGAATGCGGCCATGACAAGTTGCTAGTGTTGCAGACAGACAGCGTTGATTGATTAATTGATTGAATGTCTATTTTGTGTTTTCGGGAGCGTCAACTGCAGTAGATATTACTCCCGTAGGTGTAGTGCATGATAACTCCCAGGACGTGGCGGTGTTCTCCGCCAGCGGCACACCACCCCACCCCACCTGGAACGAGCTCCGACCAGTCTCCGACATGCGTAGTACATGTGTGTGTGTGTTTGTGTGTGAATGTAAGGGAAGAGGAGAGGAAAAGGAAGAGGAAGGAAAGATCTCGCGCGGTTCATGGCCCTTTTGTTAAGGTACTGCCCTACGTAAAAAACACCGCTGTCAGCAACATTAGGCGAATGCCGGAGCAGTACCCAACAAACGGCCCGCGGCCCGCGCGTGATCTTCCCTTCGCTCTTCCAGTCATAGCCTCACTTCTTCCACACACTGACACTAACACGCACACACGCCGGGAGACCGGTCGGGAGATTAGAGCTTGTCCCGACTGGGGGCGTACCCCGCTGATGGGAGACACCTGGTCGGGGAGAACCTCGCAAGGCGATGATAGGTCAGCGCTGGATCTCACCATCCTGTGGGAGAAGATCACAGAGGGAAAATGCACTATACTTACGGGACTAATGACCATAGCAGTTGACGCGTCCGGTATCACCAATCAATCATTCAATCAATCGTGCTTTAAATGTATCTGTGTGTGTGTGTCTGTCTGTCTGTCTGTCTTGCTGTCTGTCTGTCTGTCTGTCTGTCTGTCTGAGGGTAGAGGAGAGGAAAAGAATGAAGAAGGAAGGATCGTCCATGGCCCGTCTGTTGCGTTTCTGCCCCGCCTGCTGACGACCGGGAGCCTCCACGGAGCCGGTCCGCTGAGAGCGCGCGTGTGTGTGTGTGTTGCAGGCTGGCGAGGGCGTGGGGTCGCTGGGGGCGGGGGCGCCGCCGTCGCCGCAGGGCCTGACGCTGACGTGGCGCGATGTGAACGTGTACGCACGCTCCCACACCGGCTTCTTCCGCCGCCGCACCTCGCAGCGACGCCTCGTCTCGGACGGTGAGTCTCCAGGCGGCTCCGCGCACGCGGCGAACCCCGAGCAACCGCCCGCCGAATCTCAAGCGCTTTGTGTGGACGGGTTGCTTGCGATTCGTCGAGCGCCGAACAATCGGTATTCGCCCTACCCACCCTACAACCGCTCGTCGAATCTCAAGTATGTAGTGTGGACGGGTTGCTCGCTATTTGCCGAGCGCCGAACAATCGGTATTCGTCCTACCCACCCCACAACCGCTCACCGAATCTCAATTACGTAGTGTGGACGGGCTCCTTGCAATTCGCCGAGCGCCGAACGTTCGGTATTCGCCCTACCCACCGCGTGTCGGTCTTTCGGACACATCAAAGGGAGCAATCATTCGTCGAACACATCAGATGATCCAGATTGGGCGAGCGGTAGTTCGCTGCTCAGCGAATGCCGAATGTGTGGAGCCGCCTTCAAGCACAGCGCCGGCTTTTCAACAGCGATGCCACATCGCCAACAAGACATCCTTGTTAATAAAACATCGCTCCAAAACAGTCCATGATTTTAAACCTTTACGTTTTTAAAACTGTAACCTTTACATGGATGTTTAGAAACATCGATGTTCAAATTAATATATGGATAAACGTCGCCCCCAAACTATCCATGATTTTAAACATTGAGTTTTTTAAAACCTACAGCTACAGCATTGATGTTTTCAAACACAGATGTTCAAAATTAAAATGTGGATGTGAATAAAACATCACCCCAAAATTATCGATGATTTTTAAATTTCGACGTTTTTAAAACTATAGCTATAGCATCATTGTTTCTAAACATTGATGTTCAAAATTATAATATGTATGCCAATAAAACATCACCCCAAAACCATCGACGATTTTAAACGAGCTTTCTTTAAACAGTAGTATCCATAACTTTTAGTAGCCATTTATGTTCATGCCAGGGGGAGGGGTGTAATTTAACTTTATTTATCTACGAAAAATTTAATTAGTTTGCACCCTTGCTCACTTTAGGCCGAAAATATCCAATTTATGAATATCTCAAAATTATTTCAAGTGTTTTATTGTGATGGTACTTTTTCACTCAACAATAAAAAATATCAATCATGAAAAAACATCGAACGCAAAACATCGGTGAGAAAAAAATCGACATAAAAATTTGGTGTAAAATGCATCGATGTTTCGAAAATACTTTTCGATATTGGTGTCACATCTTTACTTTTTAGTGCGCGCGGGAGGTGTTTGAATCTGACTGTTCTACGTCGGCTCAATCACCGCACGAGCACCTGCTCCGGGGGAGCGAGGAATTAGTTTTAACGACTGAAGCAAATGGATAAATAGAAAACGCTTCGAATGTCCTGTATGGGCAGTAATTCAAAAACTAGCACTGATATTTGGTAAAGTTAACTGGGCATAAAATCGCCTTTTATTTATTTGACTATTTATTTCACAGTTTTACATTGCTAAAAAAAACAACTTTCTGTTACACAAACATTCTAATACTTTATATAATTTTTATTTTATTTTTCCGCTTGTACCGATCTTCATAATCCTTGTATGTTCAATTCTTCTCTTTCAAAAGTCCCTCAATTTCTCTCAACCTGCCATGTTTAATCCTCGTCTTTTCTTCCTACTCACAGGATAACACTCTAAAATTAGGTTTGGAATTCAATTTTCTTTCATTGCTTTAACATGTCCAAATCATTGTAATTGTTTATATAGGATAGTTTCTAAAATTGTGTGAACTTTATTTAATGTTTCTCTTTTTTTTAAATCGCCTTATTGATAGGTCAATTTGACTGACTATGCTCGCACATTTACAAGTCAACAGCGACGTTTCGGTCTTCAGCTTCTGCTCTTAAAACATCTTTGACTCCAGCCATCTTAACACGTGTTACAACATCATTCGGATAAGGCTTATTATGGCTCACTTACTTAATGTAACTATAAACTGAACATTTCCATTTAATTAAATATGCGCATTCCCTATGCGTTTTATTTATCCGTTTTCTTCAGCCGTTTGTAAAAAAAAATTATCGAAGGCTGCGCCGCGATGGTCTTGAATTCAGGTCAGGTCAGATCTTTGGTCAGATGGTCTCGACTTCAGTGATACGATGTGATGTAGTATGATCTGGTGTGATGTGGTGTGGTGTGATGTGCAGTGGTGTGGTGTGGTGTGGTGTGACGTACTATGGTGTGATGTACTGTGGTGTGATGTACTGTACTGTACTGTGGTGTGATGTACTGTGGTGTGGTGTGATGTACTGTGGTGTGGTGTGATGTACTGTGGTGTGGTGTGATTTGGCATGTCTTGTGATGCAGTGTGATGTGGCATTATGTCTTGTGATGTAGTGTGATGTGGCATTATGCCTTATGATGTAGTGTGATGTGTTTCGCAGCGACGGGGGCGGTGGCGCCGGGCGGGCTGACTGCGCTGATGGGCGGCAGCGGCGCGGGCAAGAGCTCCCTCATGGCCGCGCTGGCGCACCGCCTGCCAGGTACGCCATCTCTTCTGCCAACCTCATGCAACGTCCGCTCCGTTATTGAATTACAGATTCTCAGTCGGCTTGATTTTATCGCTTACAGTCGTTGTCACATAAAGAATTCTGTGCAGTCTGCCCCGATCTGATCAAATCATCCATCACGTTCCTTGTCACTCTATACCGACTGAACCTGTTCTGTTCCTTGCCTTCCCTCGTCCTCTTCTGTGCCACCTGTCCTTTTGTTCCGTGCCCTTCTGTATTGTCCCGTCCCGTGTCATTCCCGTCTCGCATGCTGTGCCTCTACGCTCCCATTCTAGAGTATTTTATGTTAATGATTTCACTTTAATATAATATTTATTTATTTAATTAATATTTGTTTAATTAATAGCTAAGGTTCCCACGCCCTAAAGTATAGTTAGATTGCAGAATCGCGTGCAATAGCCCTCTCGTAGCATGCCCTCCAATTTAGTCAATTCACAAATTCTCGTTTCTCTTAGATCGTATCCGAAAGAAAGTAGAGTTTTCTTCATCAATACTGAAAAATACTATCAGCGTTTCCACTCACTGTAAGCACAATCTTCTGGATATGATTAAAAAACAGAACGCCTAAACTGCTGTGCAGTAACGAAGCGTTTCTCATCAAGCAAACATGAGAAACAGTTGTTCATCTAATTGAGGTTTATCTAATACGACCGTTGTTTTTATCGAATGAAGTGACAAACCCTGAATTTGTAGCCATCATACGCGTTGAAGTAGATATATTAAAAAATGAAAATACCTCATAAACATCAGTTTATCGAGTGGTAAACGCCAAAGGTTAGAGCGCAGATGCGCTGCGTGTGATGTTGCAGCTGGGCTGACGGCGGACGGGGACATCCGCGTGAACGGGCGGCCCGTGGGGGACTTCATGCATCGCCTCAGCGGCTACATGCACCAGGAGGACCTGTTCGTGGCCGAGCTCACCGTTCGCGAGCACCTCACCTTCATGGTAAGGCAGCTGCCAGGCACCGACAGTGATTGGCCAGATTGCGCAGAATTCCCCCAGCCCGAACCCAGGAGGGCTCTGTGAAATTGCGGTTCGCGGGGAGTTGTAACACTAGAGTAAAATTTGTTATAAACGAAACAATGATGAATTGAGATAATAGTCATATATTCTGAAACTGTAATTTATTGGGCCAACTGACAATACGAATAGCGAACGTTTTTACATACCGAATACCAAACCGACAATACCGAAAGCGAGAAAAAACAAATCACTAAAGAGCTGGCACATGTAAGCTTCCGCGGCTCGATTCCATAAATTCTGGGCTATCCGGGAGACGCCGCGTCGTCGGCTGAGAGGCCGACGTTTCGCCTGACATGTCGCAGACTTCCTCAGGGCAGTGACGAAGCGAACGGCAATGACTTCGTCAGGCGAAACGTCGGCCTCTCAGCCAGCGACGCGGCGTCTCCCGGATAGCCAAGAATTCACTAAAGAGCTTCTTTCCATTGATAGAGTGAGTACGCATTCTCACATGTTGTCTTGGATCGGGTGATGACGTGAGCCGAAAAAGAGGGGTTGATGAGGGCCTGATGATGGCGATGGAGAGCCATAGTCAACATTAGGGCCTGGTGATAAAGATGAGAACAGGGGAAAGTCATTTTCATGATGCCATCATTTTGATGATGCTAGTCAGGTGGACTGGCGCACGCGTCCGGCATGAGGGGCGGGCGATAGCCATGGCAATGAGAAGCACACGACGACGTGAGAGGCGGGCCATAAGAGCCAACGGCAGGGGTATGACATTGGCGTGGGTATGAGTCAGGTGGGCCCGCGCACGCGTCAGGGGTGAGAGGCGAGTGATGAGAACCGAAGGGTAGGTGGGCGCGTGCCTAGGGGCGGCTGCGGCTGGCATGAGGGGCGGGCGATAGCCATGGCAATGAGAAGCACACGACGACGTGAGAGGCGGGCCATAAGAGCCAACTGCAGGGGTATGACATTGGCGTGGGTATGAGTCAGGTGGACCGGCGCACGCGTCAGGGGTGAGAGGCGGGTGATGACAACCGAAGGCAGGGTGATGACGTGGGCAGGGTGATGCGTGGGCGCTTGCCTATGCGCGGCTGCGGCCGGACCGGCGCACGCGTGAGCAGCGAGAGCCGGGTGATTAGGGCCGAAGGCAGTGTGATGACGTGGGCGCGTGCCTAGCGCGGCTGGACCGGCACACGCGTCAGGGGTGAGAAGCGGGTGATGATGACGTGGGCAGGGTGATGGCGTGGGCAGGGCGATGACGTGGCAAAGTGATGACGACGTGGGCAGGGTGATGACGACGTG